CGAATGTTAGGTAGAGGATACCGGTCTGGTCTGGTAACATTGTTCAAACGGCGGTAATCACCGCAAGGACGCCAGGATCCATCAGATTTTTGAACCATATGCAGAGGTGAGGCCCAAGGACTATCAGAACGGCGGATAACTCCCGCCGATTCTAATTTTTGGAACTCAGCTTTCGCTTGTGCCAACTTAATTTGATCCAAACGGCGGGGGCGAGCAAATAAAGGTTGTCCTTCTGTTTCAATCACATGCTCCACGTTGTGCTCAGGGAGTTTACCAGGTGTTCGTGGATTCCAGGCTGCAGGAAACTCATCCAGGAGAGATGCAACATCAGGGGCGAGTTTACACACAGAGGCAACGGAGGAATCGGCGGGAGAAAACCTAGGTGGTGCAAGAGGTTCAAAGGAGAGATTTTGAAGAACTTGGCGGTTCTTGGTGTCGACTAGGAGGTCAAACTCTGCCAGGAAGTCTGCTCCCAGGATTGGTTGGTCCACGTCGGCGAGGAGAAACTGGAACTGGAAACGGCGGGAACCAAACTGTAGAGGAATCAATCTGGAACCCCAAGCTTTAGTTGGCCGTCCATCAGCCATTAGGAGGTGGGGGCCTGTCGGTGCAGCTGAGGAACGATGAGAAAACACAGATCTTGACACCCCAGTGTCGACTAAATAATCACAGTTTGACAGGGCATCTTGAAGGTACACGAGATAACCGCCGACGGGAAGGCTGTTTAATTTTTCCTCCTCCCGTCGGCTCTGGTGTTTCCCTGGAAACTGCAAGGAGGGCGACAGTTGTTGGCGGCAGGACCAAAACGATGGTGGAAATAAAACTCTGATTTTGATGGACCTGTGGTTTGACTACGGCGGTTCGGCGATGGGCTTCTGCGGTCCTGAGCTCTACCACATGATGGAGAAGGTGATGAGGTCAACACTGCGGCTAAGAGGTGGTCGGTAGGTATGGCTTTCCTGGCGTCCCACAAACTATCAGCGTATAACGCCATTTCACTAGGGTTTTTGAATTCCCTGGAGACTAGATGGTCCCTCATCTCGATGGGTAACCTCTCCAGAAATAAACCCTGGAACAGGCAACCTGGTTTCTTGTCCTCTGGGAGAAGGGCAAACATGGCGTCCATGAGCAGTAGGGCGCCTGTCTCCCAGCCCAGGGTGGTGAATTGGTTTGGAAACCTTCTGCCAGCGTGATAGAGTATACGAGGAGACCAGCTTGGCCTTCAAATCCTCGTAAGGGGTTTCTGAGGAGGCAGCAGAACCCATGATCAGGCTGCGTACTGAGACCATGATCTTCTGGGGAAGTTTCTGTAGGATGTGGTCGAATTTGGTTTTTGACTGTGATTTGGGCGTTTCTGAAAGCCGCCTCTGCATGAAGGAAGCATAGGTCGGGGTCCTCTGTCCAGAAATCCGGGAGCTTGGCGGAGACTTTGGCGACAAACTCGGTTGGAGTTTCTTTTCGGACGGTCATGATGCTCGGATGTATCACTTAATGTTCAAAGTTCAAGAAAATCACAAAACTGGATAGCGTTTACTGTATGTTCAAAGTTGGGGGTCACCAATATAGAGGAAGAAAGTCAGACTCTAAATAACAACGCATAAATAATTTCCAGTATATATATTTCTTATAACTTATTACTAGAGGGTTCAGAACTAGAGTCAATATCGAAATCACACGTGTAGATCTTTTATCGGTACTATGCCCCGTATCCGTTCTATCTTATTCTGTTGAATCTTGTGGAACTAGTTTAACGCGGCCCGGCATCGTCTTCCACAGTCAGTTCAATAATGATTCTATAAGATCTGCAAAAATCTTTGTGATTTATGAGAAACCAGAATAATGAGATAATAGAAACTAATAAATGAATAAAATTACTTATTTTTGATGATAAAATCAATTTTCATTTTTCTGTAGTTTATTGTACAACTTTTTTACATTTAATGTCGTCGTTATTCAATAATTTCAAACAAATAATCCAGAAAACATATCAACCCGCCAAAGTATGACTTTTGAACATCGAATTTGCGTTGAAACTCTGGATTTACAAATCTTTAAAAAGTTAAAAATGCATTAAATAATTACGTAAGAATAAATAAAAATATACCTGTCCTTCTCCACCTCCATCTTCTCCAGTTCAGCATCAAGGCGAATTTTCTGCATCTTCAACTTCATAATCTTATCCTCTATGCGGAGTTTTTAAGCTTTCTCATCTTCTCAATTTCAGCTTCCAGGCGAAGTTTTCCATCTCCATTGTCTCCAACTCTGACTCAAGGCGGAGTTTCTCCACCTCGAGCATTTTCTGATAAAAATCCATCTCCTAACATCAAAAATATACCTTTAATTGGTGACCTAAACTTCTTTATTCACCTTTGTGTGGAAAAATAAGCAAATTATTGATAATAATATTAAGTTAACAAATTTATGAACTTTTATTTTATTTCATTTGTTGACAAGTTTAGACTTTGATATTTGTACTCAGTCAGAAATTCTGTTTTAACCAAATTTTCAACAAGCCTTAAAAAATTTATACTAAAGGTAGTTTCCTTGTCTGAAGATCTCACAAATCTCCAGTTATATTTATCTATTTGTTTGGACAAAACAATCTGATCCTAAAGTCATACTCATTCATCCAAAACATTTCAAAAGTCTAAAACCTAACAATATCTTGAAATGTTTAGCTTAAGACCACCCCCCCCCCCCACCATCCAAAGATTCCTAACATATTCGGTAAAACAGTCATACTCATTCATCCAACATAGATTTAAAACAAATATATCATGAAATGTTTAGCTTAAGAGCACCTCCGCCCTCCACAAATTCAAAATATATATCCGATTAAAAATGTTAAGATTTCTAAATGAATTGATGCCTGAAAGTTTAATCTGGTTTCTCTTCCTTTAACTATTCGTCTCCCGTTAATCCTGCAAAAGTAACATGGGTAAATGTTTTACAGAGAAAAATGGATTAAGGAATTTATATATTTCTAGGGTATTATTCAAAATCGTCTATTTACAAAGCTGTTGATGGAGGGATAAAAGGGATGTGATTAGAAAGGAGGGATGGTATCGTAAGGAAAAAATGGGATTAGAAGGTAGGGATAGGATTGGAAGGGAGAGATGTAATGGGAAAGGAAGGAAAGAAATGGGACGGAAAGGGAGGGATTGGATGGGACCCCTGGATAACAACATATATTTAGTCCATTATTTGTTTACTTAGAATTCATAAATTAATGCAACAATAAATATCATGCATTCATAAAAAAAAAATTAAAGAATCAATTTCTCCATTGTTCAAACCACATAGAGCAGTATATATATCATGCACTAGTCAGTATATATCATGCACTAGAAACAAATGAATTATTGTTATGCAACAGTAAATATCATGCATTAGAAAGAAAAGAAGCAAACAAACTTCATTTACTAAATTTAAAGATTTAATTATAAAACTCTCCACAAATAACTAGAACAAAACTCACCTTAAGACCCATCAAGTGCAGAATCTTAACCAAAATGTTGAAGAAAAAAAACCTGTACACACTATGTATTTTTGAGCCCTTAAAACCTCAATACCAGTAGAGAAATGTTGTGATGAAGTAATAGGGTTTCTCAAAAAGAATGAGACTGTGAAGACAACGCAACCCAAGAGCCAAAACTCAATAAGTATGACGATTTTAAGCTTGATTTTTTGATTTTGCATTCAATGGAATATTTTGATGCTTTACTAAATGATTAAGCACAGAAATAAGACAGTTTGGCTTACAGAAATCTTATCATTTGTGGGTAACCCTGTTTAGATTTGGGAAAATACTGCCAATCCTTTAAGGGGAGTGACCGGCTATGAAAGGTAGTTGAACTGAGTTCTTAGTGTTGTCGAAAACTTCTTTTGGATTCATTTGAGACATATTACACTTTTTAATGTTCGGTAAATCCTGAGCTTGAGTTTAAAGCCGACGTTTAATACTCCTACTTTGGGGTTGGATATGCTTTCAGAATTATATATTTTTTTAAATTTATTAATTAACGACAAAATAAAATGCAAAAATATTCTACAACAAACTACGGACGTCATGTATAGGAACATTTTGAGAAAATAAAAATTAATCTTATCATCGAAAATAAGTAATCTTGTTCAATTATTAGTTTATATTATCTCATTACTCTGGTTTCTCATTATTCACAAATTATTAAGAATTTGAAAAAATTTGCGAATAAATTCAAAGAAAATTATAAATTCAATATAATAATGGAAACGAAATAATCGATTT